TACATAATTAAAAACCGCGAAACGATGTTTAAGAAATTCACTTCTTCAACATTAATTTTCGAATGATGTTTGTTCTTTACGAATTACTGAGGAATCTGGTTCCCTAGCTATGCTTTTTAAAAAAAAAAGTTGTAAGAAGGAACCATTCTTTAATAAGGACGTACAAATGGGTTTAAATGATTTTTTTTACATGACATGACTCTAAGAGAAATTATCGGCAAAACGCAATTAAATCTAATACTTTTTTTAAAAAATACTTTTGTTATATGTATAGCTTGTCATCATTTCACAAAGAGGCTTTCACGGGATAAGGTAAACTGCAATACAGTCTTTATTTTTGGCAAAACTTTAATCCGAATGTCTTTAAAAAAGTTAAATTTTCATTCTAATGGCACAGCCTGAGTAAGCGTTCGAAATCTTTTGGCGACTGAGCAAAGCTGTAATTTTTCATAATCTGCGCTACTTAAAACGCGTTAAAGTATGCATGTGGTCACTAAACTGGGGCAATTTCCTTTTTACATTGACTACAAAGAGCAAAACAAATTGAGCTATAAGTAGGTCAGAAATGGAAAATAAAAACGATCTATTCATTTAAACATATTTAATCATTTAATTATTTCATTTAAACAAATTTTGCTTATTAATTTAAGCAGGTTCATACTAAATGTAGAGATTATTTCAGTATTAAAGCAGCTTAATAATTTACACAAAAAAAAGTGGCATTTTTATGAATGCAGACTCAACAGAGATTGGCCAGAAATACTGCCGAAAAAAATTTTGTAAACGATGAGATCATTTAATTCTGTTAATGCAGTCTCTTAAACTATCAAATTTCAATAGCATATGCTGATTCCCTTGCCATTGTGCTAACCGTGGGAGGTTATCCTCTCAATGCAAATCAAATGCGGGTTAGTTTCATAAAAAAGACCTTCACGAAGACTAGTTTGTCCCAATGTTTGAACCAGAGCCGTGATGGCTCATGTGATAGAGCATTCGCCCTCCAATGAAGTGAACCGGGCTCGAATCCCACCAATGGCTCGTCGATATGAATTCGCATCCGGCTTGCAACGACCACAGTGCTGACGTGAAATATCCTCAGTGGTAGACGGATCAGGGGTTAGAGTCCCTTTGCCGCGAATCTAACATTGGGAGGTTCTCATGGTCTTCCTCTCCATGTAACGCAAATGTGGGTTAGTTCTATCACAAAGCCCTCCACAAAGGCAAAATTTCTACCAATACTTGATCCAGGAGTTCCCTTGTCTACTGGATTGGGTTAAAAATTAGAAGGCTATGGAGTTGAACATTGATGGTCAGAAACTCAAAATTNGGGCACCTGTGAACCAAAGTCACGGAGGCGAGCAACGTTACCCACGCCATACTGCCACAAACCCGTTCATAGGGTGGGCCACATTCACTCATTCACACAACAGAAGACAACACAGAGAGAGAAACATCCATGCCCAGAGCGGGATTCGAACCCGCGGCCATTGGCTCCGCAGTCAGACACGCTAACCACTCGGCCACCTGACTGAGCTATAAGTAGGTCAGAAATGGAAAATTAAAACGATCTGTTCATTTAAACATATTTCTTTTTAAAATTTTGCTTATTAATTTACGCAGGTTCATACTAAATGTAGAGCTTATTTTAGTATTAAAGCAGCTTAATAATTTACAAAAAAGTGGCATTTTAATGATTGCAGACTCAACTGAGATTGGCCAGAAATATTGCCGAAAAAAATTTTGTAAACGATGAGATCATTTAATTCTATTAATGCTGTCTTCCTTGCCATTGTGCTAACTGTGGCAGGTTATCCTCGCCAAGCAAAGCGAATGCGGGTTAGTTTCATAAAAAAAATCCTTCACAAAGACTAGTTTGTCCCAATGTTTGAACCAGAGCCGTGACGACTCAGGGGGTAGAGTGTTCGCCTTCCAATGAAGTGAACCGGGTGCGAAACCCAGCAGTNTAACCTTATCACACCAATGGCTCGTCGATACGAATCCGCATCCGGCTTGTACCGACCACAGGGCTGACGCGAAATATCCTCAGTGGTAGACGAATAGAGTTAAGAGTCCCTTAGCCGTAAGGCTAACCTTGTGAGGTTCTCGTGGTCTTCCTCTCCATGTAACGCAAATGCGGGTTCGTTCTAGCAAAACGCCCTCCAAGAAGGCAAAATTTCTCCCAATACTTGATCAAGGAGTATCTTTGTCTTCTGGATTGGGTTCAAAATTAGAAGGCTATGGAGTTGAACATTGATGGTCATAAACTCAGAATTAGGTCAGCTTTTAAAGGTGGGTTATGAAATAAAATAAAATAAATAGTACATGCTGGAAAATTTTATAAATTTTCAAATGACTATGTTATGATAATGCTCATAGATATGTTGTACTGACTGTTACTATGAAACGATTAAGATCTACTGCTGAATGACGTTGCTTATCGATTCAACTTAAATTTTTCTTTTAATCCTGGAATACATAGATTTTTATTTACATTGTCAGTATGCTTTCTTCAATAAAAATAAACTTAGATTTTTCCTTGGTTCGTGTTTATTTTACAAGTTCATGTAACAATAAAGGACTTAAAACTGCTGTGCCACTCAATTGATTGAATGTAGGGTTTAGTGGCACAAGGTCCAAATGAGGACATGCTGCGCCAAACAATATGGTGAAACAGTTCAAACGTATGAGCTGTGCCACTCAATACTGCAATTTAGAGTTGTGAATTACACACTGCCTATTTTTAAAAAGAGTCTCTCAATTTATACAAAGTTTAGATAAAATACAGTAGTATTTAATGAAGAATCAAAAACTAACAATGAAATCAGATCAAGGAGTCAGCGAGTGCTACAAGTTTGTGGCTGGTCTCTCTAGTTACTGCTGTTACAAGAACAATCATCATTCAAAAATTAACAATAAAAAAGTAAATTTCTTAAACCACATTTTGTGATTTTAATTATGTATTCATCATGTTTGTATTAGCATTATAGAGAAATATGGTTCAAAGGGTGATAAAAAAAATGTAATAAATAACAAGTTTCAGGAGCTTTGTTGCTAGAAAACTACTGGACTAAATACAGTGAAATTTGTCAGCTAGGCAGGTGAAATCCTGGAGAGATTTTAAAAGTTCCATAACAATATTTATGAAAGAAAGTTTTTATCTAGTAAATGTTTTACGCTCTGGATTGCACTTTTTCAAAGAACATATTATTCAAACAAATATAAAAAGAATATTTCAGTGACCAATTACTTATTTCTCACTGTTTTATTTATTTCTGCCTAAATTATTTTTAAATTTTTATTTATTCATTAAAATTTTGAATGAGAGTAAAAACTTTAGATTAATACTATTTTGTAGAAAATAAATGTTTAAAAAAATTTAATAAAATAGAACATGAGATAAAATAATAAGAAATAAAGTAAAAGCAAAGTTCTATTAAAAAACGGTAGCCAATTTATGTGTAAAGACACTAACATGTTTAATAAGTTTCAACTTTCACTCGATTTTAAAATAATAAATAAACTACTATAAATAATTACTTAAATTGTTAAATTATTAACATGTTTTGGTATCATGTTACAGCTAAAAATTGAAAAAGAATACCAATAAATATCTTGACATTCTAAAATTCTTTTTATAGGATGCTGCATTTCACAGCAATTGCTTCTTTGCCAACTGAGATATCTGCAATACCGATTTACAGTCACTTTTTTATTTCTTCAAACAGACAATAAGTAGGCTGATTTTGAATAAAGTAATAGCATTTGATAAAAATAAATTTTAACAAAATTTCCAGAAAATGTTCAGTAATAAATTATAATTGGTATAATAACATTAATTTTGTATATAAATTGCAAAAATAATTTTAAAAATATTGTTAAAAACAACTTAAATTACAACTTAGCTATTAAAAAAAGTTCTATTAAAAAACGGTAGCTAATTTATGTGTAAAGACACAAACATGTTTAATGAGTTTCAACTTTCACTCTATTTTAAAATAATAAACTACTATAAATAATTACTTAAATTGTTAAATTATTAACATGTTTTGGTAACAAGTTACAACCAAAAACTGAAAAAGAATACCAATAAATATCTTGACATTCTAAAATTCTTTTTATAGGATGCTGCATTTCACAGCAATTACTACTTTGCCAACTGAGATATCTGCAATACTGATATACAGTTATTTTTTTTTTATTCCTTTAAACAGACAATAAGTGGACTGAGTTTGATAAAGTAGTAGCATTTGTTAAAAATAAATTTTAACAAAATTTCCAGAATATGTTAAGTAATTAATTATAATTGGTATAGTAACATTAATTATGTATATAAATTGAAAAAAATAATTTTAAAAATATTGTTAAAAACAACTTAAATTACAACTTATAATAGCATATGAAAGATAAACTTTATTATATGAGTGAAATGGTAATAATATATGATCTTAAAGAACAATATTTAAATAAAATTAATATTGTCCTAATTTAAACTACAGATAAAATTCACATCTAGCAATCAAAGATATATGTTAAGAAACTACTCACACTTCGTTAAAAGAAATATTACATAACCAGTAGTGGCTAAAATTCTTTAAGATTTATATAAAATCAAATTAAGAAAAAACTAAAACTGACTTCGGATCTAAAAAATTATATTGCTGTAAACTTTTAAAATATAAATAAATAGTAAATCTTTTATAAACAACTTCGAAGACATGACAATTTTCGACAGATTTAAATTGTTACATGTTAATTTTTCATAAGTTTTGTCAAGATTATGTCACTAAATACATGATTTTGTTATCTGTCTCTCTCTCTATATATATATATATATTAAATAAGAACTGTGCCCACATGATTTATGAGACACATGATTTTAAAATACAATGAGTCTGCAACAAAAACTAACTGCATGTGGTACATAAAGAGGAGAGCATTGAATACTGAAAAATATGTAGATTTGCTATCAGAGAAGAAAAGATTTTAAAACTACATCATAATTAAATAAAACTACATTTTTATTGAAGTAAATATGAGTAATATGAAATATTAAAAAAACTAAAAAACTTTCTGTACATAAAACTTTGACACAGATCAGAGCCAGAGTAACCTGAAAATTAAAAACAATATACATTAAAATACATCATAAATGGAAATATATTTATAGAAACTATATGCACTACGTTAAAAGAAACATTAATAACCAGTAGTGGATAAAATTCCTTAAGATTAATAATATATAGTAGAATATAAATAATATAATATATAATACAAAATTAAGTAATTTATACATAAAATATAAAGTTAAGATTAAGTGATAAAATTAAGAAAACAAATTAATAAAGAAATTTTATTTTTTAAAATTGTTTTTATTTTTCTAAAAGTTGAAAGGGAAGGACATTTTATTGGAAGAGTGCTTGCTATCTAACTAATTATGAATAGTTTTAACTACCAAAAAACAAAATTACTTGAAGGTGTAACCAGCACATAAGTTTAACTATTATAAAATTAGTGCAAAATCAAAAGTAGTAATAATCAGCTAGAGACAAATTTATTTTTTAAATTGTTAAACTATATTTGCATATACTATATTTGCATGCACTATAATTGTTAAACTATATTTGCATGAGGCATTAAAGAAGAATCCCAAGAAACTGAAGCAGAAAGATATATTTGATGTTATAAAACTTCATCTGCTTAAAAATATGAAACTAGTAATAAAATACATGCTTTGAGCACTTAAATAAACACCAATTCTCATTCAGACATGAACAACTAGCTAGTCTTGAGACCGTGAGTCTATTTTCGGGTGCTTGAAATATGTCACTTTTATTACCGTCTTCATATTTTTTGAAGCAAATAAACTTCTATATCAAGCATTCTTGGGTACAGCTGACATCTTAGCTTTTCCAAGGCTAAGTTTGTGCTTAACTTGATTTTAAATGGGTGTTTATTTTTTACAATTATTTAAAAATTAAGTTAAGCCTAAAGTAGACATCAACAACATGCTGCAAGAAACCTAACTGCATATACTGTCATTTGTGTTGTAGGCAACTAATTAGTCAAATTATATTATAGTCTAACATAAATGAATTCTTCCTATATAAATTTTTTCTTATTTACTAACATGAATTTCTTTCTTTTTTCCATTTTTAAAGTATAAATTCCTTTCCTATAGACAGATATTTATAAATTTCTTTTCAAGATTAAAATAACTTGTGAAATACAGAAAATATATTTGGTATTAAAATGAGGTATATTTGGTATGAGGGTTTTTATATGGCATTATTTGAGTTTATTTAATTCATGTCTTCTCACACAGTACTATTTGTGCATGGATATTTGATCATATTATGAATTTTATAATCTTAAACTTAGCAGCTTATTGTTTTAAGTAAATAATAAATAAATATAAACAATTAGTGATATTTCAAAAACTTATTTTAAGTAAGTTACCTACAGTAATGCTGGAAAGAAGTTCTGTACTCTATTAATTGTTGGTTTACAGTACTCTATTAATTGTTTTTAAATTTGCACAAAATTGAAAATATGAAATGAAAAATAAATATTTTTAAATCAATGACATTATACACAATTTTAAAATTAAAAACATTACCTCATTCTTTTGGATCAATAATTGCCCACAGTTTATCAACTATTTCTTGTTCAGAATGTTTCATTGTATCCATGTCAAAAGTCTGGAAACGCTTTCCTGCAACAACTGAATGCAAGTTAAGAAACATATGAACACAAGTTATGTTTTTTGAGGTATATGTCAGGGTTTTTACAGTTATTTTCAGTAAGTACTGATTCACTGATGATACTATTACAGTAAGTACTGATTCAAAACTATGAAACCTACAGAAATCATAAATAAAAATAAAGCAATTTAAACAAAACAAAAAAAGATTGAACTAAAATAATTTAAAATTAGAAATAAATAAAGTATATGACAGTTCTAAAAAGAAATATATATTTTCATTGAGGAAGTTTTTATTTTAAACTTTAATATAGGTTTAAATCGTATTCTAATGTATTTTCGACTTATTTAGATTTCTTTTATATTTTTTTAATGGGAGGGGGGACAGTAAAGGGATGCACAAAACTATAACAATCCTAATATTTAGATTCATTGCAATACCAGTAATAGAAACTGTCTAGCAGAGTAGCAGGAATTGCAGATTATATTTCACTTAGTTTTCTTCTTAATTTTAAAAAGCAAATAAAGAAACAGAAAAATTACTGAGACTCCTATTTAAAACAATTCCAGATTTGTTTCTAATAAAAATTCAAAAACTGAATTGAGATACCACCACAAAGAACAAAAAGTAAAGAATTTTTCTTTCTGTTACTTGATTACAGATTTATCTGTATAGAGATTTATTTCATTTTTTTGTTTTAGTATTCAAGGGATGTATACATACATAACTTAAATTTAACCAATGCGAAGTTTTTATGCATAATTTTTCAGGACTCTATATCTGCAAATTTTGTATGTATATTAGATTCAACTGAAATTTTTCAATAATAACCGCTGTTTGACTGTATTGCGGTCACAGACAAATTTGAATAGTGCAGCAGATCCACCCTGTAAATTCTGCTACAGAGGTTGCAATTTATTTGATTATATAATTGGAAAAAAAATTACAAAGCTTCTCTATTGTGTTATTTTGCCATCAAGTAAAGAAAGAGCATCCAATATGGAGAATTTTACTAAAAACACAATTATTTAAAAGCTACGCATCATTGTTGCAAAGTGGCATTAATCATAGCCATGATTTCAATGACATGGAAATCAGAACATCATTACAGAGATAATACCAGTTGAAATTTGCAATTGCTTTCTTAGATTTCTCACAAAGGCGATGATTTAACCTCTTAGCACTATAGGAAAATAGTACCGATACATTACAGCACAGTGGCTAGGTTGATAGTATTTTTTTTATATATTCATTCACTAAGCTTTTATTCGGCACATTTAACAATGCTATTATCATGATGATTTAAAAAAATATTAATAACACAAATAAATCTGCATTGGGCATATTTTAACTTGGCAAAATTAATAAATACTGATGCTTAACATCAATTTTAATTAGAAAATATGAATATCAATTTGATTGTATTTGTAAGGGAGAATAGTTTTGATAATTGAAATGAAAAAAAAAATTTTTTTTTTAAAGAGAAGTACATTTTTTTTCCATGTAAAAGTTAGAAACTTGTTCCTTATAGATCATTCTTTTTATCTAAATTTAATGAAATCAGAAAAAAACTAATAAAGTCAACTTAATTACATGTTTAAAGTGGGTTTGTAAAAATTTTAGAACAATATTCATTATGAGTATGGATAAAAAATATACATTTCTTAATTAGATTTTAATATCATGACTGCACAAAAACAGAAATATCAGACTTTTTAATTTTTTTTCCTAAATTTTCCCTCAAATACTGTGTGTCGCCATAAAATTATAAATGTCTTGCTTTAAGATTGAAAAAAAAAAATTAATAAATAAAATAAAATAAATAAACATTTGCAGCTTATAAAGATTGTGAAAAGAAAAAGCTTGATTTGAGTATTATGTAAAAGTAATGAATACACCATGAAATATTAAACCATAATTTTTTTTTTTTAAATTTAAATCTAAACATTTATTTAAAGCAATATTGAATGAAAAAGATTCTGAAGGTTTATTTAATATTATTTACAAAACTGAAGTTATTTATAAAAATATGTAACTAGTCTTTATCTAAAAGAAATTATCAGCTTCAAGGATACATCCTACTATGTGATTTTCTGGACTTTCTAAATCCCATCTCAGTTTAGTTATGAGCTGATATAAAGCAAGTTCCGACCTAGAAAATAATCAAAACCATTTAATCGAACTCATGTTTAACATTTAATCGTTTATACAATATCATATTAAGAAATATGATGTTAAAAAAATTCATAAATAAGGAAAATATAATTCTAACTTTTGCAAAACTATTTATTAATCTTTTTAACTGTGTATGTTATAGATAATGGGAATGAGATAAACTGTGAAATTTAGACATAATTATCTACCACAAAAATTTACATTGAACTAGTTTTACATAAAATTCCATATAATTTTCTTTTTCACTTAATCTTTCAATAATTATTTAGTTAATGATATCAATAATGAGTTAATGTTTCAATAATTATTTAGTTACTTAATCTTTCAATAATTATTTAGTTTAGAAATTAAAAAAAAATTTTGAAGTATAGTACTTAATTGAAGGCTAAAGTTATCCTTAATTAAGAAGAAAAATTATTAAACGTTAACAGTATTTCATAAATTAATAAAATTATTTTTATCAAAGAAAAAAATATATATAAATCCCATAAATTAGAAAATTGGATTAAAATCTTAAATTCATGGAAAGGAAATATGAGAAAATTGTGAAAAACTTTCGAAGTATATAAAATACATTTTTTGAATATTTTAACAACAAAAAATAATAGCAAATGAAAAACATAGTTAGGTTAAGACAGATGACTAGATTACTTTTAAATCGTTTATGCGTTCAATGTGAGCAAGGAAAAATTATTGCAATAAATCAAGTGATATAAGTTGATTACATTTTCTATTTAAATAAATTTTCAGATTCAATTTGCTAAAAAAGTGATCTCTTCAATTTTCCAGCTACATTTTATTTTTAATTTGTCACATCTGAAGGGTATTCCTTTATTCAAGGGATAAAGTAATTAAATCCTATTATATATAGGAATTGAAGGAGCAACAAAATTCATAAAATTAGACTGTCATTTAAAACCAAAGCATGAACTACACTCAAAAATTCAAAGTGAATTAATTTTTAGTATTCTATAATAGGGTAACTATTATTCCTAAACTAAAGTTATCTGTTTTTATATTATGATGCCTGTAATATATTTATAAATTTTTTTTATGAAAATGTAATTATAATTAACAAGTTTTTAAATTTTTATTAGGAAAAATTATACTTTAATTAATTGTGTTTAGTAATATGAGTAATAAATAATGTTTCGCGTTTCGCTTAATGACATCAATTACTGAGTCGCATAGTCTATATAATGAAATAATCAATAAATGTTTATTATGCTTTTCTTTAATCTCATTGAAAAATATTCAATTTAGTCACATGATTTATTTAAAAACTTAACACAAACTTAAATTATATTTGAAAAGTTTTTTAAGATTTGTTTTCAAAAGAAAAAAATTGGTCAAATTATTTATTCTAATAAAGATTTTATTCAATTTGATACTTTAATAATTATAAGGATTAATTAACGACATACAAAATAGAAGACATTTTCAAATTAGTAATAATAACAGAAAAGGTAGAAGTTAAGCAATATTTTTTCACTTAGAAAAACTAAATTATTTCAATTTTATACAGAATTCATAACAATGTCAAACAAACCTTTTATCAGGCTTATTTTGTATTTTAGTGTCAAGTTCACTCATTTGCTTCTGCAGAGTATCAATTTCTTTCTGAATTTCACAAAAACTTGACTCAGATTGTAATTTAGTTTGCAGCAAATCATTAGTATTACTATCCAGAGCTATATTAAATAAACATATTTTAGTAAATAATTTCATAATCAATAAAAATAATTCATAAATTATACATTTCACAAATATATGTGCATAAATTATTTTGAAAAACAAGTATAACATGTACATTAGTAAAATATACTTCTTACCAGAATTATACAAATTGATTTCCAAATCGTCCAATAACTCAATACATTTACTTTTCCATTTGTTATTAATGCTTTTCTTAAGAAGAGGTAGTTTAGATTGGAACTTTTCAGCCATAACTAGAAATTTAAATTCAGAATAAATATTAATGAAATCATGCTCATAAATATTGTTTCGTATAAGGATTTCTCAACAAATTACAATAATAAATTTTTATAAAAAAGAAAGAAAAAGTTTAACACACTAGTTAGATTTTCAAAAACATGATAAGGCATTTTAAGAAGTCGTAATAACCTGGAGTGCAGAAAATTCTCAGAGCCTAATATTTCCCTTGAACACTATTTTTTTTAATCCCAACATTTGGGATTTGTCTTAATAACAATAAATTTTTCAAAATATTTTTAGTAAAGTGTGTATATGGTTAAAAAAAATTTCTTTAACAAAGTAAAAAACACATTTGACTTATACAATTCTTGAATAAACTAGCATTATTGTTAAAAATAATAGAAATCAAATTTTGTTGAATTTATAATTATATATTATAATTTGTAAAGCAACTCATTTCTTTCACATTAAAAAATTTTGAATCATTTCTTTTTTAAAAATAAATTAGATCAAAAATTTCATCAGGCAGGGTTTGTAGCCAGATTTTCAAGAAAAATACAGGGATGAGATTGGCCAAAAGACAAAAAAGCTGAATTTCCACGTGAGTAAATTTTACGCGTGTGCAATCGCTTAATAATAAATTCCTGACAATTTAAGATAACAAACAAAAAAAATTGCTATTTTAGTTTGAAAAAATTACATGATAATCAGCAACTGTTTAGATAATTATTTTTCATATGATAAGAATTTCGCATTTTATATCATAAATAACAGCAGCATTATTATTTCTTAAATTTTGGTGCTGAGTTAATAAACTTTTTTTTCCACAAAAAATTTAATAATTTTTTAAGTAATTGCTTTTGTTTGCTAAATCTTTTTTTTTTTTTTTTTTTTTTTTATTTNCAAAATGCTTAATTTGCTGCAAATGCTTTAGGTTTTACAAAACAAGCAGAAAATCCTTTAACAAGGTCAAATTTCTCGTAATGCAGCTTGTGAATGAGGGGAAACAGATTGGTGATTAATTTAGTCGTTAGCCCATCTTCAAACATCTTTTCACAAATCCTATTTTCTCTTTCTTTACCTGCCTCTGTCACATTCTACTTTGCAAGCACAGAATGCAAGTTTTGAATATGTCTACATATACTAATAATTGTTGATAGAAAAACAGTCACATTTATAGCAACTAATTTAAAAAAAACCCTACTTCTTACAAGAATCGCGATAATTGATTTTAAACTCCAGTGAATACGAATCGTTACATATGTTTTTAAAAACGTGTAAATACATATAGTGATATTGGATTTTTAAATCTCGTATATACGAATTATATTGTAGAATATTCAAATTGCGTGAATAAGAATCAAAATGTTAGCAAATTCCGGGCTTGAGACTTTTAAAAAGCTTGTTTGAAGCAGCGACGTTTGAATTACGAAAATACGAACCATCTGGCGGGCTAAGAATGATGAAAATCGTATCTTCTGCGCTTAAAAGTGGCGAAAATAGCACAAATGTAAAAATGTGGAAGGATTGACAGATATGTAGGTTGAATTTTCTGTTTATCTTTGAAAATCAGAAATAAATACAATAATTCAACGGCTAAATTTTTCGAAAAGGCAAAATATTTACCTAAATTTTTTTTTTAAAGTGAAACTTTTAGATAATCGCAGTTTTTAATAAAAAGGCGGATATTCGAGATACAAAAGTAAAAAAAGCGGAATTCCGCTAAAAAGCGGAAAAATCTCATCCCTGAAAATAAATTAAAACAAAATTATGATTGGCACTCATTCATAACGACATTGAAGAAATGCTTCATATTTCACACACATTCAGCTAATATTAGTCAGCATTTTTTCACAATAAAGGATTTTCATTACCGAAAAATAATATATAATTTCTTATCCTGAGAGATTATAGATATCTCTTATTTACAGGGTGAGACAACTGAAAATTTAGAGAACATGAACAACATTAATTTTAAACCTAAAAAAAAGACAGGGTGCTAGAAATTAGGAAGGGCATCATTTCCACACAAAATTGTATTATTCTTTTAGCATAAAAACGGTTTCACATAAGGTGTTATTTATTTTATGCAAGAAAAGGGAAATGTATGTGAGTTCTTGCAGTATAATGGAAAAAATTTAACTTTTACTTTGTAACAAATTCAACAGTTTTTACATCAATATGATTTAAAAGAAAATTAGGCAGTGTTGACACTAAAGCTTGGTAATATCACATTAGTGTTTTGTCAATGCATTGTAAACTATTTCAAATTCTTTTCTATTTTATTAATTTATTATTTAAATATAATTTGATTACATAGTTTACTAGTTGGATTAATATGAAAAATATTATATTTCATATTAATCCAACTAGTAAATTATCTAATAAATATTTTATAAAATATGAAAAATTCATTTGACTTTGTTGTAAATGAGGAAATTTTAAGTTATTTTCTGTTACTGTTTTAAAAATAAGGTTTCACTGCTTTTGTGTCTTATTATTATTATTTATTGCAATAAATTACTATTTATTACTACAATAAATAACTAATTTATATTTTACTATACATAGTTTTATCTTAAAAAGTTTGTAAATATTTTGAAAGTTTGTAAATATTTTAAAACAATATTAGAATTTGCTATAGATTGAAAAAATTGTTTTCAAAATATAGCAATTTTTTTTTATTTCTAGTCAAAGGCAAATAAAATAAACACCTTTTGACTTGGAGGGGGGGTGCAAGACATGGTGATTATTCTGTCACAGATCACGACCAAGTTTTGTCAATCAACTGTTTTTAATAAAATAAATTTAAACAAACAGATTGAAAACTATAAAAAAAAGTTAACTTATCTTGGGACCAATTATAGATGTGTTTGTACAAATCTTACTTCTCACTCTTAAATTGAGATGAACTGTTATGTTAGCGAAACATTTATAGTCGATTGCAAAGAAATAATGTTTACATTGATATACAAATTTCAAAATGTTTCTGCAATGAATGTTCTACATAATGCAATTATTAAAAAAAAGTCTTACTCAATAATTGTCGTAATGTTAATAACGCACAACTAAAACTTTGTTTAAAAAACAAATATACACTGTTGATGATAATTTATAAAATCTGAAAATTGTTCTCATTTAAAGTAAAGTAGTAAATCTTATTAAAAAGTCAACTATTGTCGTTATTTGTTGTCAAATCAAGCGCCAGACGCCAGAGCATTGTTATTGTTTCTGACGTTGCCATACCATTTTAAGTTTAAATTTCTTTCCTTAAGATTTTGATTAATTAAATTATTATTTTAGAAAGGAAAAAAAAGATAGTTTTGGGGAGATTACGAGTAAAATAGTTAAAGTCACTATTTTTTGCATGTTCGAAAATTTGGATGGTTTAAAGCTGAAAAATTCATTTTGTAAATAAAACACTTCAACTTATAGTCGCGTGAAATCAACATAAATTTCAAATTTTGAAAATCTGATTTCGAGTTTCACCAGGTTTTTACATTATTTTATTGGTTTTAAATTTGTGTTCCTTTTACTGAGAAAGTTTTCCGAAGCATTTTTTTCTTTTTTTTTTAATTCTCTGATTTGACTTGTTGATATCTATTTTATATAATCATTCATTTTAATTCTTCCATGCTTTGGTTGACTTTTTAAAATTTGATTTTTATTTAATTATTTCATTTGCTTATACTTTCAAATACGAATTTTTTTTACAGAATTAATAATTTTATGATTACAAGCAGACATTTTATTTTGTGAAGATATAATATTTTTTTTTCTGCTATTAAAATCTCGGAACTCCATATCCAGTCTCCAAACTGCTGACACTTTACCTGTATGCTTTAAGTAACGACATTAATTTTTTCGTATTGCTAATATTAAATATGTTCATAATATTTTGTACTGAAATTAGCTTTTTTATTTTAGTTTTAATATGCTTTTACTTTTTGCTAAAGATATTAATAGTTGTAAATTGTTATTTATTTATACTATTGTTATTTATTTGTATTATTTCAGGGGCGTTTGTTATTATAGCTGTAGGAAGATTTTTAATGTGAATATTTTTGTTGAATTTTCCTATAATATTTTGTTAAAACATTATTTAATTTTTATTTCAGGTTTAATACTATGAATAATGCAAACAAGCAGATTTGTTCCTCAATATTAATGAATACATCTTCAGATTTAACTCCAAAAAGGAAAGCTTCATTTAAAGGTTCAACGTCCGCAATGATGTCTATTTCTGAAGAGAATTCAACTGAGAGAGAGAAAACTAACACACCTCGTCTAAGAAATCCTTTTGATGTTAAAGCTGAATCATTATATTTCCATTCATGTTCTCCATTTTTTGCCACCCTGTCTAGAAATAAAAAAGATGATGTAAGATTTTTTATTATTTTCCGCACTCTTAACTATGTCCGTATTCTACTTCCGTATTCTTAACTGTGTCCGTATTCTACTTTTGTATTCTTAACTATGTCCGTATTCTTAACTATGTCTATGATAATATCCAATAGAAGTCATAAACATTCTGAATATTTGGTGTATTTATTATTTGTTTGTATTTTACTAAACTAAGGTATGCATGAAATTATCTGTTAAGATGTCATAAGACAATGTCCAGAACTCATATCGGCATTAATGTGAAGAGAAGAATTGGTGTGCATTTATTTTTGTTTACTTTTTCATGTGTGGTAGAGGTCATAATAATTCTTTTTTTTTCCATCAAAATTCTTTTATTTGAAAAAAGAAAATATTTTGCAAATTAGAAGTATATTAAACATGTCTTTTCATATAAATTTTTAAAAATTGTCTACATTAGCCCCTTCTCTATCTTACAATTGTCTCTATATACTCCCTGTCTACAGTAAAGATTTCTTTTTTAAATTAATCTTCTTATGATAGTTTAGGTAGTTTTCAGTTATCAATTTTTATTGCATCACAGCAATATATGACTGTAAAAGATTAACATAGAAGTTTATAAAACTGAAGCTAATTATTGCTGAAGAAATATAATGAGAAAGAAAGACTGTAAAGAAATTTTTTTAAGATATTTCTTCCACAATATTGTGCTTTTTTTTTTCATATTAGTTTCAAAAAAAATTATTTTCTTAATAATTAAAATATTCTTTAATAAAATTAAGGCTTACATAAAGCCAGCCATTGAGTTATATTCTTAAATTTGAAATCTCTTTTGTACCATTTATCGATGTAAAACAATTTTTAAAAAAAAATGATAGATTTTTTTTGTAAATGAGTACTTTTTTGTCACAATGTGTAAAATATGAAAGATTATTATGACATTTTTTTTAAAACTGTTAAGTAGTTCAACTGTTTCTGTTTGCAAATTTTATAATATCTAGAGGTTTTATCTTAAATTTTTGTATCCTACTTAGGGAACATTTCGATGGTCTATAGAACAGCTCTCTGTTCTTTGTCCTGCTGATATTGACGAAACTTCTATGCCAGACATTTGGTAATATTTATTTAAAATCATTATTTACCTAAAATCCATCATCATTATTATCAATCTTTATTAACCATTAGAATTTGTTTAAGTTCTTCACAAAATAATTTATACTAATTAATGTTTTATTTAAATTTTATATTAGTCATTGTCAAAATAACCTATTTAATTATTTTTTATCGACATTTGTATATTGATGCTATTAAATCATTTCTAATTCATTTAGTTAATTATAATAAATATCGAGATTAATTTTTAATTCCTTTTTATTTTTGTATTTTTTATGTCTTTACCCTTTTAAGTCATTAAAATACTAATTGCCAGTTTGTGCTTTCTGTCACTGCTTATAAGTAAGTTTATTACTTTTATTATTTCTACTGAATTTTATATTTTACTAAGTTTGTCATTATTATTATTTTGACTGTGTCCCATTTTTCTAAATTGTTTTAGAAAAAAATTGAGGACTTTAATTTTCGACATTCAAGTAAAGTATACTCCTGCAGATGAATTTTTTTTTTGGAAAAAATTATGAGAAAGTTTTTTATTGGTACCAAAAAAAAGGATAAAATTATGCACTGAAATAAAATAATTGTTTTTTTTTTTTTNTTTTTTTTTTTTTTTTTTTTTTTTTAATTTTAAATATTATGTTATTAAGAGCTTTGAAGCATCTATCTGAAAAATAAGATTACTTATTTTACTATAAGGAAAATACACATTGCACTGGACTTAAACCGGTTGGAATTGGGAAAGGGAAGGAATCAATTTAGTACGCATAGCTACTCAGCTGTCTCTGAGGATCTGGAAAGTGAGGATAGTTAATTTCACAAAACATGTTTTGCATGCTGTGCTAGTTACCATGCCGCACAATGGGTTTTATGAAGAACTTGAAAGTCTGCAATAGAAACTTTTTCAGTAATTAAGACTGACTTCCGTTAGGAGGCTTTATTGTTATTTATCAAGTCTACTGGTGACTTTATGCAAATTTTATAGACCAGAAAGAAGTCAGCATGGAAGCTCGGTGAGGAGCCTTTATTTATTGTTATTTACCAAGTCTACTGGTGACTATGCATATTGTAAAGACTATAAAGAAGTCAGCATGGAAGCTCACGCTGGTAGGCTATCAATGATCAATCACAAACAACAACGTTAAACCATCATTTGAGTGTTTACTTGATAAAATGGATACTCCCAAAAGTTGTGGCCTGACGGTTTTCAGGATTAGAAACTTGACCTGTTTTAAAATGTTTATGAAAATTAAAGCTAAACTCTTTCTGTGGCTTTCTCAGATTTCTTGTTCTCGTTCTTATAAACATCTATGAAATGACATATTTTGAAACAATTGAAGTTTTTTGCAATCTGCTGAAGTTTTGTTTTTAAAAATAAGCTGTATTCAATATTAATGAAATTTTTTTTTTTTTTTGTAGTGTTGATGCTGAACAAGAAATGAAAGCCCAGGAAGCAATTGATACATTTTTTTCTCAAAACAGCATTGTGCCATCTCCTTGGAGTGATCCTTCTGATAGTGGAGGTAATTTTTGGTTATTCACTTTCCATGATTTTAAAATTAACTTTTTTTCCCCTGTACTTTCTTGGTATTCTAGATATTATTAAAACAATAGCGTATATGTTTTCATATGCAATCCTTTTATTTTACATCAAAAATCATATATATTTTATTTTTGTAGCTATTAATCATATGGATTTAAAAAATTTGTTTTGATTTTCTTGTTTTTACTAAATATATCCTTGCACTTTAGTAATTTTATAAAATTTAAAGATTTTGATGATTGTTCAGCTTTTGCAACTTTGTAAATTTCAATAAAAAATTTGAAATCATATATTGTGGCATGTTAAATATATGTGTTGTTAAAGTATCAAACTTGTATAAAATGATTTAATTTTGCTAAAAGTAAATTTCAGTGTTAGAATATACATTTCTATATTATCTACTTCATCTAATGCACAGAGTTGTATACTCTATACTACTCTGTATATCAACTCTCAGGCTTTTTTCCTAATAATTCTATGAATCAGCTTTTCTTGCAGACCCCTTCCCAAAACATTTTAAGAAAAATTGGAGAATTGTTGACTGGAAAAACAAACCAAAAAGAGTTTCAGTGAAGCTTTTTAGTGACTCTTTCGAGAAATGCAACATCTGAAACTGTCTATTTTAAAACAATAGATTTATTTATCATGTTGCAATTTTTAAGTATAAAAAATCTTTATTGTTTTGCTCATCACGCTATACCGAAAAGTACCAGGCTTTTTGAATTTCTGAGATTGAGAGGAAAAATCGACAACCAGATTAGAGGTCTTACATGCCTTTGGACATAAAAATAGATTAAAATTTTTATCTTCCTTTATGTTTTTAGTTGGTGAATATATAGTTGAATTGTATTATGTAAATTGAGCATAATTAATATTGCTTGCTCTTTTCTTCCAAAATAGTAATCTGAAAATAGTTAACTCTAATACATATATAAAAATTTTTAAAAAATATTAGGTATGTATACTTAAAATTTGCTTGTGCAGTTTTATTTTATCAAACTTTCATTTCTTTTTAGGAAGGTTAGATGTGAAAGTTAGAAGAATGAATCACATGGTGCATGACCGACCTGTAACTAGCTGCTGTGATAGTGAGTTATCATTTCATAATAAAATATTAAGTAAAAAGTTATTTTGGACAGGTGTCATCACACTATCATAGAAGTTATATTTATTTTTGACTGCAATAAGTTTTTAAGTTCTGCAAGTGTATTTTGTAAAATTTTTCTAGATATTTTGCACATTAAAAATAATCATGTTGCTGAATTGAATAAGAATGCAATAAATGTAAATGAAATACAAAATATGATTTCGACATATGTTTCTGGACAGGGTTGTTACTCCACAGGGAAAACCTTGAAAATACTGGGAATTTTGAGTTTTTCTTTACAAACTGGGAAAATACAAGGAATTTTATTTTTGCCTTTTAAAAAATGGTGACCAATGGTATGGAAGGATGATATTTCAACTATACTAAATTATTTCATTTACTATAGCATTATTTAAGTATGTTTTTAGCTGATCCTTTTTTCCTCTAAATTTTTCCAGCAATTTTTAAAATTAATATAGTTATCTCAATATAGCTCATACAAGAGCACAGTAATTGTTTCCTCTTAATATATTCTCTGTAATACGTACAGGGAATTTTTTTTCTTTTTCTGGAGATGAGTGGCAATCTTGCTGGAGTAAGATTGTCAAATTAATTACTGCAACAAAGTTGCATGTAAAGTATAAAATAGTTATGATTTGATTTCTGTGGAATAATGTTTCTGCTGCTAGATCAGCGGGTAAAGATGAGCTAAATCTCTTTTTTTTTTTTTTTTTGAGATTTGACCCTGCCTTATAAATCCAAATCAAGCCAATTTTTACATATTCTTTTTTAATGATAGAAACTTTATAATGAGCTTGAAAACTAAAAAAGTCCATATTTGGCTTAAGTTTTATCTTTATTGACAAGCAATAAATATGTGCTTATCGAAAATCAATATGATGAACTTTCTATGTGTTGCAAAAAATTTCTGTCATAGTTTATACTGGCTGAAGGATTTTTGCTGCTGAAATGATAAAAATGCTTTGACTGAAACGTATGAAGTTTGAGAGAGTTAGCTGAGGACTTTAAAAATTATTTTTAAATAAAGGTTACTAATAAGATGTATGCTTTATCTTGTATTTTAGCTATATAAATTTTTAAATACATTTTAAACTATTAAAAAAAAGTAAGATTTTTATTTTATATATTTTTTTATCCAGTATTTTTGTTATACAAGGATGACTTTAGAATTTTAAGACTTCAAAAGCTGGTTTCAATATATTCTAAAATTTCTGTGCACTAGATTTTATTTAACCAAATTTTTACTATCCTCATAATAAAATATATATTTTTTTATATTCTTTAACTGCATGTAACGGTTTCTGCATTAATATGGATTTTTTCACTAATTAATTAAAGGATTTAAAATGCTAATAACTTTTTGTTTTATGTTAACCTTGTTTATATTTGTATTTTAATGATTTTGATGTATTAAGGATTATTTTTGATTATTATTTTTATTCTATTATAGATTTTTTGTTAAAAAAATTATTAAATAATTATTACAAAGATTATAGTACAATTTGATTGTATTAACAAATTATTTTTTTAGCTGCCACTCAAACTGCTATAAGCATTCCACCTGATGTAGATCTGAAGTTGATATTAGGTATTCAATTTATTTAGTTATTACTAGTTTATAATTTAAGAACAATTTTGTGTATATCTTTATGAGATTACATAAATTAGTAATTAGAGAATAATCTTACAAAATTTAATTTCTTTCCAGATATTTTGCTTTGGCATTCAACGATTTTTATTTTGTATTATANGTCATATATCGCCACATAAATTCAGATTTATTACGATTAAACAGCTTCAAACACAGCTCAGAATCATCAATTCGTTGTTGTTTTTGGTCAATTGTGAGCTCGTGCGGCACCCACTTTGCCTAGAGCTTTCTCATACCCAAATATTCATTCACGATATGTCTAACACTTTCCTTTGATATCTTTAGAGTCTCAGATATTTTGATCAACTTCACTTTACGGTAATCTAAAATTATTTTGCGGACTTTTTTGATATTTTCGTCGCTAACTGCCTCTTTGGGGCGTCCATGGTGCGCATCTTCGTCAGTGTTCATTTCGATTCGTTTAAACTTAGCAAACCACTTCTCAATGGTTGATTTTCCTGGTACAGAGTTCGAATAAAGTTTCTCAAGCCAAGCCTTGGCTTCAAGAGCATTTTTTTTCGCTAGAAAGCAATGCTTTATAAACACGCGAAATTCCTTTTTATCCATTGTTTTTAAACTAACAAAAGTTGCTTCACTAAAAATACTATATCTCACAAACTGTTAGTCTGACAGCTGTCAAATTTTAATTCATAATTATTATCTATGTGTCAGCCTACGAACTTTTCAGCCCGACTGTTATAATATAAATTTTTAAATACATTTTAAACTATTAAAAAAAAAATGATTTTTATTTTGTATATTTTTTTATCCAGTATTTTTATTATACAAGGATGACTTTAGAATTTTAAGACTTTAAAAGCTGGTTTCAATATATTCTAAAATTTCTGTGCACTAGACTATATTTGACCAAATTTTTACTATCCTCATAATAAAATATAAATTTTTTTAAAATTCATCGGATGATATTAATGAATATGTTTTTTATATTATTTAACTGGATGTAACGGTTTCTGCATTATTAATATGGATTTTTTTCACTAATTAATTAAAGGATTTAAAATGCTAATGACTTTTTGTTTTATGTTAACCTTGTTTATATTTTTATTTTAATGATTTTGATGTTATTAAGGATTATTTTTGATTATTATTATTATTATTTTTTGTAAAAAAAATTATTAAATAATTATTACAAAGATTATAGTACAATTTGATTGTATTAACAAATTATTTTTTTTAGCTGCCACTCAAACTGCTTTAAGCATTCCACCTGATGTAGATCTGAAGTCGATATTAGGTATTAGATTTATTTAGTTATTACTAGTTTATAATTTAAGAATTTCGTATTAGTCGATATTAGGTATTAGATTTATTTAGTTATTACTAGTTTATAATTTAAGAACAATTTTGTGTATATCTTTATGAGATTACATAAATTAGTAATTAGAGAATAATCTTACAAAATTTAATTTCTTTCCAGATATTTTGCTTTGGCATTCAACGATTTTTATTTTGTATTATAATGCTTTATTTTTCTCTAATAGGTCAATACTTCACATTTAACGATGAAGAAGAAAGTTTCTCTAGTCGAGAAAACTCTAGAGAGGAAGTAGAAGTTTTAAGTGCTTCTTCTTTAAGGCGGAAACTTTTTACAACTGAGGAAGAATGTATATCTCCACCCAGGTATATTGAGAACCTTCAATATAAATAATGAAAAGATCTCAACTTTTATAGGGGTCGTCTATAAATGTCACAATTTAGGGGAGGAATAATGTGAGACTGGGACAACAGGGTGAAAGGGTTAACAAGAAGTGAGATAAAACGCATTTTGGTTGAAATATTAATCAACGTTACTCACAAAATCATTGTTATTTTTTATATTCACTAATGTCACTGGAAAGCATAGTTAATTTTTTAAATAAAGTTTGTAATATTTATGACAATGCTTTGCTTCTTGACAGAAAACATATTTATGTTATATAATGTCACCTAAGACTTGTCGTAAGTGACAGAGGGTAGGGGCATGATGAAGTGTGGCCCTTTGTTTCAAAGAGGGGGTGGCACTAAAAATATTGAAAAAGGTTGGACATCATTTAGGAATGGCTCCATGTGAAAGTATTTCTCTATAAAAGTAGAGAAATCCACTTTTTACTGGTTCCTACAGAATCAGCAAATTTGAGTTTGGGAGAAAAAAAGTTGTTTAAAAATCTTTTATAAACCTGGAAATTAAAAAATCTTTTAAATTCACTGCAATAATTAACTTTTAAGGTTTATAGTAAATAAATTTGACATCTATTATAATTATATTTTGTGAAAATTCTACTGTAACTCCATTCTAAAAATTTATTTATTTAAATATAAATATTTCCTAATTATATTTGTAATTCAAAGATATTTTTAAAATGACTGGTAATAGTTTTATTTTTTTTTTTTAAAAATATACTTTCTGTGCAAAATAGTTTTGATTCTTAGCAATATTAATCACAAATGAGATATATGGTGGCAAAAGAACTATTGATAAACTTTATATCATTGTGAATTTTTGCAGTTATTGTTCAAAATATTGCTTTTATTTGTAGCCTATGTACTTCAGGGTTCCCACGGTCCTTGAAAGTCCTTGAATTTTTTTTTGCTAAANCATCATAGAGTGGGAACCCTGTACTTGTGTATTACAAAATCTACATGGTAAACCTTTATCCTAGTGAAATTATATTTCTTAAACACTGTTATATGTAACTTGTATTGTTGCCTTCTAAGTAAAAAATGCTGTATTTTGTATGAAATCTTGCCATTTATAGTAAAAATGTGATCTGGAAATTTGTACACATTTTCCTGGAATAATGAGGGAAATTTAATTCTGAAATTGAATGAGAACCTCACTTATTTTTATATTTGAAAGCAGATATCCCCAGATCCGTAAATTTAAGTACAATTTTGTATGTTAAGAAAAACTCAGTTCACAAACTGCATTAATATTAAACTAAAGTTTTGATTACTCATCTCGTTCGATGCTTTAAACCAACACTTCTTAGAACACTGGTTACGATAAATGAGTAATCCGATTCTTTAGTAGCCTGAACATTGTGACATCTTTCTTATTTTTCAACTTTGTTCCTTCAGACTACTAAAATTATCCATATAAAGTCCTCTCTTCTGGAAGGTGTTGATTAAATGCTCGCAAACTTATAGGATATCAATACATATTTTTTTCCAGTTATGTCCTTTCTGTGTCTTACCATGTCAATAATTTCTGATTTTGTTCTAAATAAATTATTACAATGTTTTATGCATTTGTTTCATCAGCCAATATATAAAATTTCAAGTTAATTATTGCTCTTTAAATTCAATGTCTTTGGGCACATTTTATGCATAAAATTCTCTGTTAATTATTTACTTTTGAAATTCCAGGCTTTTGACTGATGTGACTGTTTACTTTTATCTTATTTACTTAACAGGATTTCTCTTAAAAGTGGAACTATTTATGTAATGAGTTGAATTCTAATAAAAACAACTGCATGTTTTTGTTTTTCAAACTTAGGACAGAAAATAAAAATCTCTTCAGAGCTAGATTGTGGAGTACACCTACCTCGAAAATGCACAGTAATCATTCCACACCGGCTTCAGTATGTATCTATTTTTTTCCCCTAATATGTCATAAATATATCTTTTTTAAAGCAGTTTCAAGTTGAAAAGCATGACCCAATGTAATTTGTGTTTATTCCATTTCGTACTGTATACAATCTGTGAAAATCATAAGGTTTCATAACTCTATTATTTATATATTCTAAGCATTTTTCCTTTTTTTTATTATTAATTAAATTGCACATGTAATTATGTATCCTTATAGGATGTGCTCTCATCCAGCCCAATAACTCCACCAAATTGTAGTGAATCCTGCAATATTTTGTCGTCACCGCCAGTTTCTCCCATTACTGCAGATCGTCTGTGTACAAGTATGCATTTCTTACTTTTATGTACTTTTTTTTTTAAAAAAAAATTATGCTTCCAGCCAGTGATTTTATTTATTTCAGAAAGAAATTTTAACATAATTGATTAGTACTACAGTGGGTAAAAAATGTTTACGAGTGTTGAAAAACATCATTTTCGAATATTTCGCTCTAAATCTCCGGAAGCTGTTAGAGACTCCGAAACTGTTAGAAATTCAAGATTCTGAAACTCATCCAGAAATAAACTCTCAATTTGGATTTTTGGACTTTTTATTGAATATTTAAAAAATCAAATGAGTCAAAATTAAATGTTATCTGGAACAAAATTAAGTGTTTTTGAGAGCAAATATGAAATGTCTTTAAAAAAAGTTGCAAAATGAAATGTCTTCAAAAAAAGGTTGATTAATAAAATGTCTTCAAAAAAATCCAAATTTCAAATGCTGCCCTAATCCTAATTTCGAACAAAGTGCGTAACAGGCAAATTCGAATTTTCCTTAATCTGTAATAAAATATATATTATTTTTAAAAAAACCCAGCTCTGCAAAAGAAAAACATATTTTGATCCTGCGAAAGTACCCTAAATATATTCTATATTTTATATATTTAAAAAATATATATCACCAAACTTAAAACAAAAACTTATCGAAAGAAATGGACACAAATTTCAAACTCGCGAATTCGAATTTTTCTTAATATACTCTACATTATATTTATTACGTATTAAAACAGTTAACTAAATTTCCTAACACTTTAAACCCTCTTTAATTTAAAATATATATATATATATACCAATTTTTAATACTTGATTTTTTTATTTCCAAAATGTTTGCTGATNTATTATTATAATATTTTTTTTTAATGTTTAATAAAAAAAAGGCAAATTTTTTATTGAATTCTGGCAAATTTCTTTTGAATCGAGCTGGATTTCACTGCGGTTTTTTTATGGTTATTATACCGACTTTGAGTTGACAAATGACTTTTAGTCACGCTAAATTGTTTTATTTTAAAATTATCACCGCTGAATTGTTTTAAAATATTTAATATAGAAACGGTTACCGAAATCGTGGATTTCAATTATATTAAAAGTGGCCACCAGTATTCGTGAATTTCATTTTAAAAGCGTCCGCCGGTATTCGTGGATTTCAATCATAAAAAGTGTCATTGGTAACATTTAAACAATTTTTCGAAGGTCCCTGAGTTGATTTTAAAATTAAAATAAATGCGGCCAGTGCATTTTCGTTTGAAGTCATGGCTGTCGATCGGGCACTTGCGAAAAACTGTTTAAATGTTACCAACGAAACTTTTTATAATTTGAATCCTCAATTTCCGTTGGCCACTTTTAAAATAATTTGAATCCACAATTTCAGTGACCGCTTTTAAAATATTTTATTTAACTAAAAATTCAAATTAACAGAAATTCTCTCTTCATTTCTTTTTATTATTAAATTATTTAAACTCAAACAAAATTTTTTAAACTTATTTTTCAGTTCCTAACCAATTGTCGAATTTAAATTGAACTAATCAACAAAAAGATATTCTTTTGATACAACTGTCACAAGAGCAGTTAAAAATTGACTAAAAAGATTAATTTTTTTTATGGTAAATTAGTGTGAGAGTAGGTCTATACAAAATATGTCAAATAATAAAATTCAAAAAATGTCACATGTTCATTATGATTAATATTATTGAATGAACCCTGCATTTTGGAAATTGGTATTTTCAGGTGTCCAAATGAAGTCATTTGATGAACAAAATAATAGTGAAATCTATTATTCTCCCCAAAATTGTCCTGCTGCACCAGAAACTGCAATGAGTTTTCTAACTGAATCTCAAGAAGTGAATTCTTTTCCTGCATCCACTTCTGAAAAGCAGGATACAGGATATGTAACTGGGAGTATAAGTTCTTCACAAAACATGAATTTTTCAGAAGTAAACAATGCACTTGTATCCAGAATTACTCCTGTTACAGAACTCATGGAGGACTGTGAACTTTCAAGCTCTGCCTGTGATATGTCGTACAGAAATACTTGTCCATCGATTTGTGATAGCATATCTTTCGATGGATTTAAAACTGGACAAACTACCTCGTGCACTGAAAAAACACATCCATGGCTTCCAACATGTTCTTCCACTCCTGCTCCAGGATTTCATAATGTGTGATTCATTGTTAATATTATTATTTTTTTATGTGTATGTTGTACTATGTGTTTGGCAAAAATTTACTTGTATGAATCTAATAGTTTATAAATTAAACATATCACTTATGTGTTCATTCTTTTTCACTTATGTGTTCATTCTTATGTGTTTTAATCTTTTGTCTTAAATGCTAAGTTTTTTATTTCTGTGCATGGCATAAAAACTAGCACAAATAATTTTTATGATGCTTAATAATCCAATACACATTTTGTTAATTGTTATTAATTTAGTTCATCTTTAAATATAATTTGACAGACTCTGTATTAAATAGTGCCACTTGATTTATTGTTATGTCTATTATGCTTTGTTTCAGATCTTCTTAAAGTTAAGTTTTTCTCTTAGAAGTAGTCTAGTAGCAGAATTCACTAAGTCAAACTGCAGCTCAATCGTCATTGATTCAAATTTGATTATGACCTTTACAAAGTCAGATATAAACTATAATTGTAGATAGTTAGGAATCTGACATGAAAAGAATCTGCAGTGCCTGCTGCCATGTGCAGGGTTTCTGCTATCATGATTAGTAGTTAAATAAACCGAGGCAATCTGACAATATGTTTTAATTTCCTGCATTAAATTATGTATAAGATTTCAAATTGTTTATAAACACTATTATTACTCAGTTAAAACTATTTTTACAGTTAAATTTGTTTGTGCATAGATAATATTTTCTAAATCTTTACATGCCGGTGGGTTTTTAGTGGTGTACCTATAATTTAAAACATTTTAAGTTAAGCACATTTTTAACTCTTAAGGGATTTATTTCTTTAGATAAATGCAAATCCTGCGATCCCAATATTTTTTTAATGGATACACCTAGTTTATTACGTAGGATTTGTTGTGGTTCCTAATGAAAAATATTTTGTTCCTCTCTTATTGTGTGTGAACAGAACATTCCAATTTTAACTACGTACAAATTTCGATTTTAAAATAATTGATTTTAAGAATCGAAAGATTTGTATTTTCGATCCGATATCTTACTATATAAAATAAAACTGCTAATAAAAATTGCAAAATTCAATCGTTAAAGCTTGGAAACCATCTACTAATTATATGCATATTTTTTGAGAAATCAGTCATTTTTTGAAAAAGAAAACTAAACATTTCAACTTTTTCTTCAAAAAAGGTGCTTATTTTTTTGTTGAAAGATTTGGCTACGCACCCTGTAATTTGATTTAAGTAATGGTTTAAATAAAATGTTTTGAAACTTTAGAATAAAAAATTATGTGTAAAGTGTATTAATATAAAGCTCAAAAATTTTATAAATATTTGTCTATTTGAGGAAGGAGATTTTTGTTTATTATACTTTAACTATTTTTTTTCCAGTTGTATTGTACAATAGAAGATCTGTATTATGTAATTCTGTAACCTGCCATTCTCCATAAACCCCATTAACTTTGGTGGTGCAACAATAAAAATTGCAGTTAAGAAATTTCTTTTACTAGGTCAGAATTATTAACTTTTTACATTATTTGTTTAATCATTTACTACGAAATTACAATTTCAAAAACCTGGGCAAACCAAAATAGATAAATTTGTTTGTTAATAATTCTAATGCTTGAGAAAAGTTCAATTTTCTGTAAATAATGAATATTTAAGTGTATATTTTTGTGATTTGTAAGTATTTGTATCTAAAACTTGTTCAAAACCAAATAGAAATTAATATGTTCCATGCTAATCTTGCCATGTTTAGTAGCTAAGTTTAAAGTTAAGTGAAGTCATCTTTGTAACTCAAAATATTATTATATATGAAACTGCTCATTTCAATGTTTGTGTTATATAGATCTTCTACTGTATTTAATATTAGTTTACACTGCCATTTAATATTATTTAATTTACACTGCCATTGTATACATACATGCATTATATACACATTAATATATATATATATGAAAATATTTTACATATATATACCTTTTCATTCCAAATTGGAGAACAAAGCTTCGATTATAGGTATCCATCTCATTGTATTTGTGGCCGGATATTTTGCCTCTCTCCGCGTCCATCCTATTGTTATCAACTAGTTTGCAGTCGTTCTGCGCCAAGTATTGCTACAAGGCTAAAGAGAATAGAAGGACTGGTTCACTCCTTTGAAGAAACTTTCGCTCTGCCAAACCTCCTATTTTCTCCAGTGACGTCACTGTGGCGCGAAGCTTGCACTTTTACTTCAAGAACGGAGCGTTCGGTCTAACTAGTTCCAACTAATATTGAAGCATTCCTTTTTGTGACACATTACAAGACATTTGTTGTTTTATGAAATGATTTTCTTAAGTTTATTGCAGTGAATGTACAAAAGTTTAAAACTATTAATGAAATGCCAGTTTGTGCGATTGCAACTTGCAAAAATTCTGATAGAAACACAAAAGGAAAAAATATAATTTTTCGCGTGTTCCCTAAAGTAAATGAACAACTATGTAAAGAATGGATTCAACGAATTGTAAACGAAATGACACAGTAAATGTAAAACAGCAATATGTTTATTCTATCATTAAGAACTTTTATAAAAATTCACCATCTAAATAGAAACCGTCTCGTTACTTCAAAAAGAAAGGCAGGCGAAAAAATTAAAAATGTATAAAGTCAAAGAAAATTAATGCGTAAATAAAAAGTATAAAGAAAGTATATAGTTAAAATTCTCCTAATTTCAAAACATATTTTTTAATGTAGTTATTCTAAATATTTATGATTTTTTAAAATTATGTTCTCTTAAAATTAAATATCTATAAATTATATTATCTTAAATTTAAATACACTATAAACAATTGCAAAATATCATTATGAACCAAAATTATTATTTTGTTTCAGTAATCAGCGTTAAAGGTTGATGTTTCCAAATGATTAAGTATGAACAAATTGCTATAAACGGCATATTTTAAAATCAGGATTCTAAATTTAACCCAACTTATAGTTATCAAAGATTATCTAGATAAAAAAGTGTCGATATATGCTTTTCTTAATAATTAAAGTTAAAACTGAGCTTTTTAAAACAAAGTATTTATAGTGTCATTTTTGCCAACTAGTTAAATATTTTTATAAGTTTAAAATGGTATTTTTTTTAATATAATGACCAAGAAAGTTTTTTTAAACTATGTTTATGAACGGAAATAATGTCTTGATTATGTAAAGTTAGAAATCTAATAACCAGAAAAAGTCTAACTTATTTTTACAGAGAGAAAGATGCAAAGTTATCATAATATCTAGCGATCTCCGAGATCTGTGTATACAGTGACGTCATGAGAGAAATCGTAGCTTCAATACTAAGAGCGGAATGAACTAGCCCTTCTATTCTCTTTAGCCCTGGTATTGCTAGGTCTTCCTCTTTTTCTTTTTTTTATTGCCTTGAGGGTTCCAATCAAAAGCTTGTTTTACTTTAAATTTTTCAGGTTTACAGAGAACATGACCAATACATTTCTATTTACATTTTTTAATTTCCAGATCAATTTGTTTCTGTTTTGCTTTTCTAAAAATTTCTGCATTAAAAATTATATGAATCCACTTGATACGCAGGATTCTTCCTTAACAGTTGAAGAAAATATTTTATGGTAGTCTATAATTACTTACTCTAATTTAATATTCACTTGGCTCTACTAAACAGTTTTTGTGAATTCAATTATGATGTTTTCTAGTTTGCGTTTTAGTAAAGCTTTTAATCATTTATGCTTGAAAGTATTTTTTTGAATATATATATATATAAAGCATGGCTAGATATTTAATTTTATTATATATCAATGTATTTTTTAATAAAAAATTGTTATTAGCATATGTATTCAATTAATTTTAATAAAAGAAAAATGAGAAAAAAAATTCAATTTTTTTTACATTAGTTAGCACTTAAAGAAAATATTTAACTGAAACTATTGTGATATGACACACAAACTTTATTTGACAACAAGTTGTTTAGGATTTTAATCAGAAAAAGCTTGCAAAAAATTTAAATAACGGTGAAAATTTTAAAAAAACTTGTAAACTTGTTATTTAAAAATAAAATGAATAAATAAGTATTTCGTTTTAAAATACCACAACTTATTTAAGAGTTGTTTTAAACAATTACAAACTAATCTTTAATCGAAATTGTTGACAATTTTTGGTGGGGTCAGAGAAATTTTATTTTGACTAAAGCAAAATTGCAACAAATCTGGACTCTAACTAGTTTTGAAATCCGTGATAATAGTAAATACCCATTGAGGTAACAGTAAAAGATCTTAACATCTCTTACACTTATTTCCTATAAAATTTCTTAAGATAGGTACTAGATAAGGTATTCAGCAGTCTTGCTGAAAGGTTATTAGAACAGATGCTGCCTCTTGAATAATTAAGTCTCATAGCTGCTTGATTTGTAGGACGACTTCATACTAATTTTCATTCTGTTTTATTGAGGAAATCATCTGAAATGCTAATGTTGAATATTGCTATTTTACAATAGTAAAAAAATAACAAGCATAGAAGATATTTTATTATATTGTTTATTATATGTTCAAAATATATTCAGGATTTAATTACAAATTAAAAGCCTTGGTCTTAAACACGTGTCGGTCTTATTGAAATAACATTTAAAAAAAATTTGATCTTTAAATTTTTGAATTTGAAATGAACGTACTAAAGATAATTTTTAGTCTATGAAACATATTTTAAATTCTATGAAGATCATAGTAAGCTGAGGAAAAATAAATATGTGCTCCAACAAAATTAATTTTGACTTTCAAAACAAATGATTACTGAGATGTTTAAGTTGTAAAATATGAATTTTTAAAGATATATATATATTTAATTTGATATTTTAAAAATAAAAGTTTATAAACAGAAATTTTCTTATGTTTTTGAAACTAATTCAGCCTAAGTTGTTTGAAGAATGTTCTCCAAAAAGTCTAACATATTAAGAAATTAACAATATGTATGATATAAATTAGCATTTATAAACTTACAAATTTATACTATGTATCTAATATAAATATTTCTGGGTGCTGGTTTTATTTAATTTTCTAAATTCTGTTTAACTTTCATATTTCCCTAAATATTGAAAAGTGCTAAAGAAAAAGAAACATCTTCGTTCTTTTTACATATATTGTAGGCTAATTGAAAAATCGTACTC